AAAATAATATAAATAGTAATTTTATTAAGAAAAGTTTGTTTAACATGTATTTTTAAAGGTACAATAAATATATATTTTGTAATTAATTTACATAATATATTTTATAAATTTATTAAAATATTTTAAATAAAATAATATAAATAGTAATTTTATTAAGAAAAGTTTGTTTAACATGTATTTTTAAAGGTACAATAAATATATATTTTGTAATTAATTTACATAAAAATTTATAAAAATTGATATAAATATTTTAATATTACTGATATGTAAATAATTTTAATTAGTTAATTAATTAAACAAAAATCAACCTTTACAATTTCAATGGAAATTAATTACAAAATGTATATTTATTACAATTTCATCATGTACCGTACATAAAAAAAAATCTTATTTAAAATATTTTAATTAATTTATAATATTAACTGCACTTTTAATGTATCGTCTGCTTATAAAAATTTTTTTTAAAATATTAATCACCCAAAAGCAACGGCCAAAAAAATTTTTTAAAAAAAAACATATAGATTTACCTCATTAATCCTTGGTTTCATGAAATCACCAGCCAAATTTGAAAAAACATAATCTGACTGCCCACCCCATCTGATACACAAAATCAAAATCATTACTTTCGAATTCTATGTGAGCAAATTCAGAAAAGAAGAAGTAAGAAGAAAGAGAACATACGAAATGTTGGATGGGATCTTTAGCTTCTTCCTAATGACACCATTCATTAAACTATCAAGATCACTACCATTCCCACCTGGAGCAGACCTCAAGGAGCTTAAATATCTTGAATATTTCTTCAGATATCTTGAGTATTTACTCAATGCAATTTCGTCTGATATTTCTGATGCTGCCATGGACACCGGATCCATATCTAAATCTAGAAGAAAATTGTACAAGTCCTGCAAATCCCTCCAAGAAATTTACTTTCATCTTTCAAAGTTCAAAGACATCAAAGACAAGGGGAAATGAAAGATGGAAAATTTTTAAGTGCAATACCACATAATTGCTGCTTGTGAAAATTGCATCCTCAAGTTCAGTCCATGTAGATGTTGCATTAACATATTTCCCATCTCTAAGTTGCTGTTTGATCTCCTCAGCAAGACTGAATTTTCAAAATGGGGTTTGTTAGATAACTGAAAGTTTGCTTTCAGAAAACCAGAATTTTCCCTGGAAACAAACAGGAACAACACCTGTTTGATTGCTGTAATCCATTGTTATCAAGCCGTGATACATCCTTGAGCAAAGATCCCCAAGAAAACTGCGCAGATTCAGATTGAAATTAATCTTTTTAAGTTTTTCTAGTAAAAGAGAAGGAAGTGTGTACTGAAATGAGAAATTGAGAAATTACTTACAACAAAGTCCTCTGGAGAGATCCAACTATCTCCCAAGGCAACTCCTACATAACCACAAACAGTTCAAAATAAAAGCTAATTTCATTTTGATTCAGTTGTACTGTCAATGGAGAGTTGTTTACCTCCAAGTTTGAGCTTCAATTTGCCAGCTTCAATGGCTTTTATAGCGGATAATCCGAGAGTGACAGCAAATTTTCCTCCATAAGACTCTGCTACAATGTAGAGAGGGCTCTTCTGGAGCTCCTCATTTTTATTAAACAGTGTCATTAGCATTGTAGTTAAATCTGTTGCTGCCTCCTCATCAGTCTTCACAAACAAGTTTGTTTTCTCCACAAAACTGTATCCTGTTCCCACTGGATTGTCCTGCAAAATCCCAAAAAAAATTTCACTAAAAAATGCATTAAAAACCTACAAGAAATTCATAGGATGTGTAATTATGGATAATTCAGCAACTTACCACAAACAAAAGATCAGCTTTCTTCAACCACGTTGAATTTCTCGGGTTTAAGTTGGTGTCCAATGGCCCAATTTCCTCAAAATTTCCAATCCCAACTCCCGAAGAACCCTTTAAAGGAAGAAAAGAGATTCAGAAATTGACTGATTCAGAGCTAAAATCTAATTCAAACGCAGAAAAACGGATACTCACAGGTCCACCTTGAAGCCAAAGAATGATTGGCCATGGCTTGGAAGGATTCTCAACTCTATAAGGACTCCTGTACAGCAACCAAAACATATGTGCTTCTGCAAAACCAATTCAAAAGACAATTTATGATCCAATAAAAAAAAAATGGAAGAAAGATGCAA